TCATGTTATCCGCACCTAAGTTTAAAATAAAAGGGACACTTAAAGCTTAAACATGCGACACAAGAGGATTCTTACAAGTGTATAAGATCTAAAATATATTGTTTTGCGAATGTTATAAGAGCTAATGACCTATTTACAATTAATAATAAAATTTCAAGCAAATTCCATAGCATTTTTTTTCGCCACTCGTTATGTATGGTGGGGGCCGCCCAGTTTTAGCAGAATCGCTCTATTTCAGATGTTAACGGTAAGTTTAGGTCCGACTCGCGTAGGCAGTGGTACGGTGTACTTACGACGCTGGACCTGGTCTAACAAAGTAACGTAGGTACAGTCGAATAACGTTTAGTTAGCGCATGAACGTGTGTTGCACGTCTTACCCAAGTCTTCGGTACATACTCGCCCCAATTAAACAATAAGCGACCTTAATTGTGTATCTATACGTCACAAAACATAACTCAGACTTTTAGGTCGATAAGTTTAATAAAAACTGACGAGCATCTCGTATGGAAGGTGACAACAACGCGAGCAGCCATTTTGTGATTAGTACATGTCAACAAAATGGTGGCCGATTTTTAGATTGTAAGTACAGAGTATCTATTGAAGAGATGTTATAATGTTTTTCTTTTTTTTTTTGGTACAAATGTTGTTTTTCTTTACATTGTATTTTAATTATTTTCGCTTTGCATTTAAAGTGTGAAACTGCTTATGTTACAGCGTTATGCATGTAAACAGATGTCTGTGAGTATGCACAATTTGTATTTTATAAGTGACCGTCTCTGATAATGTAAAGTGAATCATAAAGAATTAATTTATATGTCCTTTATATTATCAGAGCCTCTAAAATTCAATGTTATTTTACTATGTTATATAAAGTATATCACATTTCGAAGGAAAAGTAATCAGTTTTGTTTATCACTGTAACAAATGCGTACACTAGTATGTAAGCTGTCGTACAAAAGAAGTAAAATGCTTCGAAACCTTAATATCCCCACTATATCACCAAAACTATAATATATAAATCTAAACTAGAGTATCATTAAAAAAAATAACGGCTTCTACAGTAATTTCTTTTTTGTTTACCTTTGACTCGGTTGTGTAAGTACTTATTTAATAAGTTGATTTCATTTTATTATTTAACTTATTTTCATGTAACAAGAGGTTTTACTTTAATTTTAAATATACATTTTTAACCGGCTATATAAACGACCAGTTTAATATAAAAAACTCATTTGAATAAAATTATTTATTTCAATTGTACCGATATTTCATTTAATAATACCTTTTTAAACACATCTATAATTGGCTAAAAAAAAATGCAGAACACCGTCGCGAAGTAGCTCACATACCGGATTTTTATATTTCTATCGCCTAGTAGTCGCTTTCTTCACGGTAATTATAAATTATTATATTTCTTTATTTATCTTAGTATTTGGTAGTGGATGCCCTCGTAGGCCCCGATCCAGCTAGTGTGAATGCCCCCAATCCTAGTTAACATTAGCCACTGACTAACGAAACTGCTTTCTAATACTCCCCACTTTACTAATAGCTAAGATCACTTATAAGTAGCGGCGGGGTTCCAAAGCCAAATGATGAGTGACATTCTTTTTTTTTGCAATTACGAAATTTCTTTTTTGATTTTGGAACGCCGGTGATTTATTTTGTTCATACTGGCAACAAAAGCAGTTTGGTTACCGCCACACTACGAGCCGCCATTGCCGCGTTGGCTCACTGACACCTCCGTGATGTTGTTTTACAGCAAAAAGCGGACATATTGGCCGGCCGTCGGATATTTGTCAATAATTATTTGGCGGAGCACCGGAGGATCAGCGTGCAATCCGGAGGCAGTTCCCTGCCGGCACTCAGCCCCATATCGCATCAGAGCGATGAATAAACCAACTATACTAACCAAAATATACAACCGTTCATATTTTTACTGAAACCTTCTTGCTGATTACAATGTATGTAGCTTTTAAACGAATGCCATGGGCATTGCAATTCACAGTACCCTAATCTACTGCCATATTCAGTAAAATATATACAATAACTAACAATTTATACGCTACTAACGTTCGTTAACAAACAGAAAAGTTGAAAAAATCATTTTAAAATGTAAATTAATAAAATAATTTACGGAAATATACATTATTTACTAAAAGTATTAGAGTAAGAATAATATTATTAGATTTTTTGCAAAATATCTAAATAGATTTAATAAATATGGTGCACCATTTCAATATATAAAATATTTAGTGATGTTATTGCTATTAAACCTATATATAGCCGTATAAATATAGAACATGGTTCGGTTATTTTTGTTACCAGAAAATTATTGTTTATTTTTTTTTTTTGTAAATATTCGTGAAACTTCTCAGATAGAGATTTAACAATGTTGTTGTGTCCTAGTGAGATAATATTTTAATATGCGGTAAATTAATGTGCCATTTTTATAAAACAAAACACAATGTTGTGCAACTCAAGTGCTTTTATAAACGTTTTTTGGATTAAGGACTCGTGATATTTAAATTTGCTTGTTATTATTTCTTCTTTTCTTTTATAAGAGAATGCCTTAGATATTTATGTGAACGACAATAGCATTTATATTTATGTTCGTCTATCTTTGTTTTTAGTTTTAGAGCCTAAGTGTGTTGACTATGCTCCGTAGTGGTTGTGAAATCTGGTAACAAATCTGTTTTATTTGTGGGCAACATTCTGTCACACAAATACCATATTTTATTTAAACGCTCATTTTGTAAAAGGAAGTCGTGCATGAAGTGTTTAATATAATAGTAGAATATTAAATTTAATATTTAATTAATTATTTGTCAAGACTTTCAGTCAAATGCATGAACATTTTTTTTTACACGTTCCTTCTACTTAATTATTTACACTTTTAACACACTAACACAACTATTTTGGTAATCCGATTATTTAATATTTTCTTTCCAACGGTTTTGTTTTCGGTATTCTTATTTTAAAAACAGCTGATTGACTTGAACCACTTCACTAGATTTCAAGCAAATTTAAGTATCTTATTAAATGATACTTTTATGTGTGTATATTTCAATAGTAATGATAATATAGTGCCTATTTATATACGAATCGCTAAATCTCGTCACTCTGCACTTCGTAGTAAAATTTCAATCAACGCCCGCTAATTACATTATAATATTAAACATGATAAAACTAGTGTATTTTAAAACATATTAAAGAATAATTCGTGTCTCGGTGTAAACCGGAAAAAGTTAGATGTAAAAAATTAAAAAGTAACTCTTTAAAATATTAAAACATTGCGCTTATAGCAGTTTCATAAACGCCTACAAATATAAAAGCACAACATCGGAACTATGGTGGCGCATGACTCCTTGTGACGCGTTCTCTGTCTGGTATAAATAAATACTATCTATTAATTCTTTACCTCTAACGCTTCTTGTCTTAAAGTTTAGTAATAAAGTATCTCTACTCCAAAGTAACTTTCATTTCACCCAACTGCCACGTTGCGGAGAGCTGCGTTTTAAGGTAAACTGGCCGTTTTGGGGCATGTGTTTTGTAACGATTTGGTATTGGCCTGTGCCCAAGGTCGTATTTGTCGTACGTCTTGATGTTAGTACGCTTAGCTTTCACACAGTCCTAGCATGGACCGAGGCGATGTTAGACACTGTCCTAGATGGTGTGTGCTATAGGTGTATACTGTATAATAATGATTTTTATTTCACTGACCATTTTAACTATTCATTTATTAACGACGTCTATTCAAAAACATTCAAAAAACGCTCAATTGTTTATGGTCTTGAAATAAAACTCAGCCTGTATGAATGAATAATATTGAAATGTAAATATTGTGTTAATTATATGTGATCTAATCTATACTTTTTGCTTTCACGATTTAGACTTGTGCAATGTAAAGAATCTTAAATGTTAGATGTAGTTTACTTTGTAGTGAATCCATCATTCTATTGCTTCTGTGCGTTAGTCAACTTAAAAAATTGTTCCAAGTAGAATCTGGTATGTGAGCAACTGAGTAAAATAATTCATAAAAATAAATGTGCTTCTGATAGAGCATGAATAAATCAGCTAGACACGAGTGCCGTGTGCATCGCACACAAACACACGCACAACCACATACACGAACCCATACACAATGACGTCATTTAGGAGGGGAAAAGATTTCAACGTTGCACTCACTATGTTTGTATCTATATACAAGAGAATATATGTGCAATGTACATTCCCGATCTATGTCTAAATATTATTTTTTGTTAAGTTTTAAATTATTTTGTTTACCTTAATAAATATTAAAGGACGGATATAATGGAGCCCTGGATGGATACTGTAAAATAAAATATAGTTTATAAGTGCACACCCCATGAATGTGCTTCTTAAGGTTATAGGATGCGTAAACCCAGCGTTTGTATTTTATGTTCTAGTATTATTTTATTTTTGATATGTTCTTCCTAAAATCTGTTCTTTGCTTCGCGAAGCGCACCGCTTCGTTCAATCTCCGAAGTTCTGTCACTTGGTGCAGAAATCTTCACTGCTAACACATCGAACGCTATTCTATGATTAATTGTAACATGTTTGAAAATATCTTAAGTCAAATTTATATTAACTATAATATGTTCTTATATTGACTACATTTCTTTTGCACACCTCGAACGCGTAGCGAGAGTGGTTGGGTTTTACTGTCGACTTGACAAGGTCACACTACCCGCTATTAAATTCGGTATTTTTAACTATATAATTATGTTTTTATCATGACTGATATTACAATAATTAGATTAAAACAGCTAGAATCTATTTTATTTGAACTTTTTATAAAGGTTTCAAATGCCATTATGTCTTCAAAGAATCGCGTTCGATCTAAAGCACTGCGATTTACTATCTCTACCTATCTCTACGTAAGGACGCCAGCCGTCCTCAGCCTCTCTTTTCGTGCCGTGAGTCTTTTACTTCATGTTCTTGTTTTTATTTTCTTTTCCATGAATCCCCATTGCACACGGAAGGTCATAGGTGGCGAGTTACAGGAGCGCTTGATTCCGGTGCCCTACAGCAAGACTTCCACCGATCAAGCTGTAAGATTTGAAACAAAGCCTGCTCTTTCACTCACATCTCTTGTTTGTTTGGACTTTTTTATGTTGGACTTTGTTTTACGTTTTAACTGTACTCTATACTTAACAACTTGTATACATTCTGTTACTGTTCATTGTTTGTCTTCACTGACCCTTCTGTTTCATGATTTTTCTAAAGATAATTGTGAAGGTTTTCAGTGTTTTGTGAGAAGAATTGTATGAAATTGAAAGGTCAGGCTCATATCGCATGTTTATCACCCTACGCAAATCATCCTAACGCATGGGCTGTCCATAATTTAATGTATACTATATGTTTTTGCTGTGTTATTAAATATTTTACGCAAATGTAAAACATTTAAATTAATCGTGATTTTGATTATTTTAATCTATCAAGAAACTTTTGTTCGCTACTCAATGTTTATAAATTTTTTCCAAGTAATTTAATAGCAGCAGTACGAGTACATAATCACGTCTTCATTATTCATTATTTAAAAAGAAAGCAAAATGTAGAATCGTAATATCTTCACATCAAAAAGCTTTTTGAATAAAATTTATTGTATGTACCTAATTCCAGTAATTTGTTTCTACAAGTATCTTAATGTTTTATCGATTGAGATTTAGTAAAAAAGTAACTATTTCTGCAAAAATGTAGTTTGATTAGATCGTTGCAATCATTTCAAATAGCACTGATAAAAGTAGCGAGCTTGCTCCATTAGTAAGGCCGACACTCGAAACAGGCTACAAATTTAATTTGGCATCATAAATCATAGTATGAGTAATTAGTCTTTGTATATATTATTTTGCGTCACATTCTGCACCGATATAAATAATTCGACCGCAAAAAAATTGTCAGACACCAGGGGCTCGTCATCGAAGCTTTTAACTCCATATCAGAAGCATTGACCATTAAAATATCGACAGCTTTTAGTTTGACAATTAAATTCTATCAGGCTAAGCTTCCGACATAGGTTGAGGTATGAACGGTGGTATAGGTCACTCAGCTTGCAGCTTTGATTCCTACGAGCAATATGGAAGACGATCAATGTTGCTTCGTGTTTGCATAGCGTCCATGTGATAGGGCAGCAGTCTTCAGCTTACGCGAGTAGCACACATAGAAGAGGTCAATGTCCAAATGCAGTCACAGAGTTGCATGATCCACAGAAAAGGTATAGCCAAATATATACCATATGACATTGTCGCATCAAACTCGGGTCATGACAAAATGTCTGTATTCAGAGAGGAGGGCGAGGAAGCAAGTGCGTAATTTTCGCTCAATGCATGGCATGAACTGACCGCCGCTATCGGTAACCTACGGACTACTGTGACTGGAATTTCGAATAACCTACGCTTTCTCGCCTATTTTTAATGGCTCAGTGTGCTTCCATTTATGTTCATTTACTAATGAATTTATTGTACATTGCTCTTCCTGCAACGGTGTCGCTCCTTCTGAATTGTCCTTTCATTTATATACTTACAATGACGCCATTTTGAACTCCATTGTTAAAACAATGTGGATATTTGAGAAGAGTAAGATTATATAAAATTTTTAAAAGGAAAATAAACTTGAGATCTGATTGTTTTAGCCATGGAGTAAGTATTTTTGTGCATATATAACAAAAAATAAATGTGACGAATTAAAAGGAGCTACCACCGCCTGACACTCGTCTCCGCTCTGGCTCTAAATGTTCTAAGTCGAATTTCAAAAGAATTGTCAATCACGAATGTTTTCATTCTGATATTACGCTTTTTATATTGTTACTATATAAAAATTATGAACTGTTGTAAAAATATATACAATATATGTACTACGCAAGTCATTTAAATACAAAAGCGTGATTGCACTTAACATATCTTTGTTTGTCGCATAAATCTACGTTGTATATAGAGCACCAATAATATATATATATACATTTTAAAGAAGTTCGATCCTTCGAGATTATAGCAGACGACGTATACTGCTACTTTAGCGAAGACAATATGTCGTTTGCTTATCTGTGGAATACTTAGTTCTTATGGGCGTAGTTACATTGTGCTTTTTTTTCTATTATAAACATCCCTTCCCTTTTCATCAGATCGTAAAGTCTACACCTGGATATGAAGTTCTTTCATAGTAGGTAGAATTTACTGTTATCGTTATCGCGTATTTAAAATCATCAAGTCGGTATCTTTGGAGGATTTTTTTCACTTATAAATCGTGGTTTACATGAAACAAATGTAAGCGAATGTAGCTGCGTCTATAAAGTGTTGAAGAGCCAGAGCATGTCGAGTACGAGTGTCGCGCAGTGGAGAGCCCGTGCGCTACTAAAGGCCGCGGCCGCTGCGCAGATCCGCGTGGTGAACGCGTTCCGGCAGGGGCTGGACTCGCGCGGCTCGCTGGCCGACGCGGCGCTCGCGGAGGCGCTGCGCAAGCAGACCGCGCTGTCCAAGCGCTTCTCGCACACGTCCAGCGTGGACTACGAGGCGCGGGACGCGCGCGACACGCTGGCGCCGCACGACCTCGACGTGGAGCGCCTGTCCAGCCACAGCCACACCGAGACCGCCGTGTAACGCCGCCGCGGCCCACGTCCCGTGCCGCGTCGCGCCGCAGCCCGCCGCGTGTCACGCCGCGCGACACGCCGCAGCCCGCCGTGTGTCACGCCGCGCGTCACTCGCGTCACGCCGCAACCCGTCGCGTGTCACGCTGCGCGACACACCGCAGAGCGCCGCGTGTCACGCCAGCGCCGCGCGCATCCGCGCGGACGCTCACTTCGCTGCCATCGCTCTAATGTAAACGTAACGCTACTGTGTATAAAGGCATATTTTTAAAAACGAGGTATCACGTTTCGTATTTGATTTAGAACGTCCGAGGCCGCCCGCCCGCCGGCGTGTCGGAGCATAAGTTATTGTTAACTAGTGTGTTTATTCGATTGTTTTGAAAATATTTTATTATAATACGCGCGTTGCCGCGCGTCTGTTGAACAAATAAAAATATTGTCTAATTATTAATTTTAGATTTAAGCGCAAGGTCGAGCGAATGGACGTGTGTTTTTTGAAAATAATAATAATGAAAAAACATGGAATTTTCGCATAGCATCGTGTCACCTCACACGGAATGAAAGTTTTTGTATTGCTTTTGTGGAGGAGTGCGAGCGGCGCCGTGGGAGCGCCGCGCCTCGCTTTTGTAAGCGTCGCCCCCACGCGCGCCTCATACCAACTGCAACTAAATTATTCAACTATTAGTTAAGGTGTTTGTTATAAATTTCAATAACTTTTTCTTTTTGTTTTTACGACATTTTCCCCCTATATCTAAGTACCTATACATTTAAGTCATATCTTGAAGCGTAGACGCATCAAACTTATCGTTTCTACACAAGAAACCGTGTAGCGTGTTTCTTGTGTACAAACCGACACGTAGTCCACTTTAAGCATCTTCAAAATGTTTAAATAGAAATAAACATTAAATTGTATAGCTGAAGGTATTTATTTGTAATGCTAGTCTCTTATGAAACAAGTACTAATTATTCTATTATTAAAATGTACTTATTGATTATTGATAAATACTTCAAGTTTATTAAACAAATATAGTCTACGGTGTAACGAATTGATTTTGGAATTTTTTCTCTATGAGCAATAGCGGGGCGCGAGCACCGCGCTCGTTGCGGCCGTGTGCGTGCGGCATGTGTGCACGTACACTCGAGTGTGTTACTTGTGTACATAGTATATACCCACAACACTCCGGACGCAAGAAGCAGTGGCCTTATATAAGCGAGCATGTAAGTGATCATTCGTCTCGCTCTCACGTGTGAGTCGCACGCACACTGGCGCAGAGCGCAGCGTTCACGTTGGCAGACATAGGCGACGTAGGATCGCAGCAGTGGCATTTTGAACTTATAAAGTAAGACATGTACTTAAAGGACTTAGTGACGAGTCGGATGCGACCCGTGCAGGAGCGGCAGACCGCTCGCCGCCCACTTGTTTTTAGTAATAAAAAATTATAAAACATAATAAAATAAATAATAATAAAGTCAAACGATTTAGCGAATCGGCAATGTTCAATTTTGAATAGAACGTTTCATAGTAGCGGTATTGAGAGTTGTTACGTTTTATTTTGTGAGCTCCGTAGGCGCATCCCGTAGCGATCCATTCTTCGATCGCGCAAATAGCAACTGATGAGTGGCGCCTATACCAAACTATTAAACAATCTTGTAAGTAATTAAGTATTAGCTTCGAATCAATAAAGCCTTTTTAAAAAAACTTAGTTAAAAAAATTAAAAACTATTCAAACTTTCACATGTTTAATATTAGTTACGGTTTCAGTGATTAGTGAGGTCATGGTATCGTTTTGTGTATTATATTGCTATATTTTCGTTTATTCGTTACGTACCACGAGTTTCCCGATGAAAGACATAATAAATTAGGAGTCTACGACAACGCAGACGCGGCGCCCCCGCCGACGCCGAAGCCTGCATAACAATCAGTTGTTTTGACATGACAGTCTGCCACTAACCATTTTAGGTGATAAGTCCCATTGTTGTATTTTTCGTCTCACAATAAATGAAAATCTATTTTATTGTTTTTAAACATGTTGTTTCATTTTTATCTACTACCCTCAAAAAATTTGTTTGGATAACTATGATAATATCAAATGTCTATGGCTAAACCAACATTACGAATACATAAGCAAACCTGCCAAGTCTGGCGAATAAAAAACTTCCTAAAATTTAAGAAACTATTGAATATCAGCGGAATATTACGGGCTGATCTAGAAGAACCAAAGAAATGAGGTTCTTCATTAATGGAAATATAAAATAAAAAATTAATGCTCACTGCTTCTCAGGTCGTTGTTAAAAAATATATTTCCTTTACCAAAATAATAATTGTAACAAACAAATCCTAGTGGATTGACGGTGTAAAAGTTAATTTTGCTTTTTATCAGCCTTTTTGAAACTACTGTTGAATGTAATCGTTTTTAAGAATACACATACTCGTACATTATATTTTACTGGGTTATAGTTCATAGCCGGCCTTAAAAAACAGCAATAGCACAAAACAAAGCATAGTGGAAAGGGTGATTAGAATGCTATAAATATTTTACTCCAGAACTCAGCGGTCATGTGAAGAGGACTTTACAACCTCAACATAACAGTTTTTGAGTCAGGAAGTAATGCGACTGGTCGAGTGTCCGACTCTACATCTAAGTCTATCTCAGAACTTATAGCTGAATATCAAGTACGAGAAGACGAATTGAAATCAGTTTATTTTTTTATCAAAAATGCTTGGGGTGAATCTGTTGGGTTAGTCAAGTTGACTTTACACATTCGTTAACGCTAATAAAAACTGAAAAATTAATGAAATAAACCTGTCACGTGACGTCTCTACTTTTCCCGTCAACTTGACTAAGCCCGCAGCCGGCAGGCCAGAAAATGCACTAAGGGAGCTTGTAGTAACACTCATTTGTCGTAAGACAAGTTAATTGATAATTGGTAAGCGAAAAAATAATATTTTCGTTAAGTTACAAAGAATGTAACAACAAAATCTAATGGTATAAGATTGTTATCCCATAGTATACAGTTCTACACGGATGGGTAGACGGAATTTCTCCCTACGTTGTGTGTAGACGTGGTTTTATAGAGCAAGGGGGACAAGGACATTCCGTAAAATGCATGGGAACTCTTTCGGTACAAACCGATCAAACTAACAATATGTGCAGAAAACTACAATGTCTATGGCAGTACTAAGTTACGTCTGAGCAAGGGAATACTAAAATATGTCTGGTACTTTTCATCCTACTAAGCCAGAGATTCCTAAAGCGGGTTCCGCGGAACCTAAGGGTTCCGTTAAAAAGTCACCAGGGTTCCGCGAAATTATTTACTTTTGCTTGTTAAATAATTTCACTTAGGCACAAATATTATTTCTAAATAGCGCAAATTTTTTTGATGAGAAGAATCCTTTACTGTTATGTAGGTAGTAACCTAGAATTATAATATTGTTACGAGCTTGGGTTCGAGACAATTAAAAACTGCCGATTGAATTACCAAAATTGACACTTTAATTACACAACACTAATTACAATCTAAAACCACACTAATAATAAACCACAATTGTACACAAACACAATTGTGATCACTTAAGTTCGCAGTTGTTTGGCTTCGAACTATTCTCTTGTATCGCCAATTCAATACTGCCTCGGTCGTGGTCTATACCGGCCTTATATAGGGCCTCAGATAGTTTCCAGAACCTTCTACTGTAGCGACATCTAGAATTTACGAGTACATATCGGTCCCGAAATTTCTAGAAGAATCTTGACTCTCCTAGTTCTGCTATTCGACACTAGAGGGCGCTGGTGGTAACTAGTGTTGCCATGTACAAGACATTAATAGTGGCGCGCAACAATATTTAAATTGCACTGTCTATGATATGTAATCTTTAGATGTGGGGCTCCATAAAATAAAAGAGATTTCATGAGTGTTCCATTAACCACCACGTCCATATAACTAAGCACCGACAAGTAGTATAATAGCAACTCAATGTTGTATTTCGTATGGTCAGTGTTGAGAACCGGAGACCCTTTTTACTGGAAACGAGGCATTCCATCTACGTCCTCAAGGGTAACAACGCGTCTGAATTTTGATTCTTGATCAAGGATACATAAATGTCTATTGGTCACAGCATCTGCTTACCATGAGGTGGATTGTGTGCGTTCGTCACCCTTATTCTATAAAGAAATACACAACGTTTCAAAACTTTAATGCTGTCCACCGCCGCGCCGCCGGTTCGAGGGGATGCTGAGCTTGCCTTTACAAGCACCACTTATGTACAGAGTAAAATTTCGTATATTGTCAATAAATAATAGAGTAAGTGCCGGAAGTAAAGACTGTGTAAGAACCTCCGAAGGAGGCGGAGTTATAGCCGAAATAAGAATTTTTTATTTTTGGTTTTTGGTCATTTTGACCCCCTAGGAGTGTAATGAGAACTTTTTGGCCCTATTCAACCATGACCCCCATGACATCCTCCAACTCATTTCTAGTCTTTAACCCCAATTACTTCCAAATAAATTATTAAGAATAACTCAAAAACTATTGGTCAGACCTTGATCAAATTTATACCTATGGGACACATTCTTTCAAATAAAAAAGAATCATCGAAATCGGTTCACCCAGAAAAAAGTTATGAGGTAACACACAGAAAAAAACATAGTCGAATTGAGTACCTCCTTCTTTTTGAAGTCGGTAGGTAAGACTGAATTATTTGGTACCTTTTGTCTTTAGTTGACTGACTGGCCGTGATTCAAAAATTTTGAACTGCTCAAACTCTCTTCTCTACCTCAAATTTTATTGAGGTGTTTGCCAAGGTTGTCTCTAAGGGATCTTCTGTCAGCAATCTGTTCAATCTCTGCACAGGAAGACGACTCATTAAGCTATGCCGCAAAAGAGTAAGTCGATCTTTTGTCGAGGTTCGAATCGTCAACGACCGAGTTCTTACTGATCTACTCGATTTATGCATCCCATTGCATTTTCTATTGCATTTTCCAGAAGTAGTACATACTTGCCAAATTGTTCGAATTAATTCCAGTCGCCATATTCCACCAACGCACATCGGGACAAAACTCATGGTACTATCCACACCATCTGGATGCTTGGCGGTCCACCATGATTGTGCGATTTACTAGGAGTTTTTTTCCTCGCTAGACTTCTTTGTAGAATCATCTGCCACCGGCGATTTTTCCGGACCGATGCGACTTAAGAGATCTTCAGGAAACAAGCTTACTCCTTTTAAAAAAAGCCGGACTTTTAAAAAAAGTTATTCAAGTGCGATGGTCGACAGTTATTAAATCAAATTTTCGTTTTAAATATCTTTATTTCTCAATAAGACAAATCGTCACTTACATGAGAACAATATAATTAGGTAAAGTTAGTAATAACAATTTGTAGTGCGGGTATAAATAAAACTTTGTTGGATGACACTCAAGAAGCGAATATCTTTGTTGCTTACTCGAATTATAAGGGGGTGGTCCAAGTTAAAGAATGTTGTTCGCTTTTATTTAATAAAACTAGCTGTTCCCCCGACTTCACACGCGTGTAATTTCGGGTTTTAATTTGTTTGCGCGGAACCCTAACCCTTTTCTAAAATAAAAGTAGCCTAAGTTACTTCTTATAACATCAGCTATCTGGCAGTGAAAATCCCGTCAAAATCGGTCCAGCCATTTCGGAGATTAGCTGGAACAAACAGACAGATATTTTTAAAAAAAATTGTATTTTTGTTATAAGTTACGTATAAACTTTCATACGCATTTAGTAAAAAGCTGTTATTTTGACATTCAAGCAGACGCTTCAATTTTATTTATTTGTATAGATGATATAGATTAAGTACTTCGTCATCATCATCATCATTACAGCCCTTCACAAGTCCACTGCTGAACATAGGCCTCCCCCAAGGAATGCCACAAAGCACGGTCCTGAGCCACCTGCATCCATCGACTTCGTGCATGTCTTACCAGGTCGTCACTCCATCTAGTGGGGGAACGCCCTACACTTCGCCTGCCGGTACGAGGCAGCCACTCGAGAACCTTTCTTCCCCATCGGTTGTCGGTTCTTCGAGCTATATGGCCGGCCCATTGCCACTTCAGCATACTAATTCTTTGGGCTATGTCGGTTACTCTGGTTCTACTAAGGATATCCTCGTTTTTAAGTCTATCACGAAGAGAAACGCCGAGTTTAGCTCTTTCCATAGCTCGCTGAGCGACTTTGAGCTTCCTCATACGGCCAGCAGTGAAGGACCACATCTCAGATCCATAGGTCATCACTGGCAACACGCACTGGTTGAAAAATCTAGTTTTAAGGTTCTGAGGTATGTCTAACGAGCAGATGTGTCGTAATCTCCCAAACGCTGCCCAGCCCAGTTGAATCCGTCGATTGACCTCTCGGTCGAAGTTGGACTTACCTAGTCGGACTATTTGTCCCAGATAGACATATTTGTCAACAACTTCGAGCTTAGTGCTCCCAACAACTACCAGCATAGGTATGACATGGACGTTAAACATAATTTTTGTTTTGTCCATGTTCATCTTAAGATCTGTTACGGACGGCAAGGGGAGCCGCCACCCCGTCGCCCCCTCATACCCTGTTACGCCCGCACACCGCCCAGGCATCACGTGAGATCGCCGACCAATCAGCGTGCAGCACACCTCGTGAGAACACGCTGATGCCGAGACACCAGCCGCGGGAATATAAGAAGGGCCTTTTGGGCTCCGCTTCAATCGATTCGACAGCGGCACTCAAGAAAGAAGAATCAAGAAAATCAAGATAGTCAAGACTCCATAGAAGACTCTATCCTGTGTAAACAATATTAGTCATAATTGCCACTCTTTGTAAATACTGTAATATACAATCGTCACGAGTACCATCTTTTCTTCAATAACGTCCCTAGTATAATTCACCCCAAACAAATACATACAGTACACTGCAGCCCCTTACAAGACCTATCCGTTGGGAGACACTATTGAGGTCATTGAGCAGTGCTTAGGTCCTCCAGCTATTCTGCCATAAGAACTATATCGTCGGCAAATCGAACTCGCCATT